GGGTTTCACATCTACACCAAGTTAGAGTTTAATTAAGGAATAAAGCTTTATGGTCAGTTTTAAGGAAATTGTAAATGTTAACTTAAATAATAATAATAAATAACATCACTTACTTTATGAGAGAACTTCCTGTGAATCATCTACTGTTATCAGCATTTCCAATTCATTTAAAATTATGATGTTTTAGTAGCTTATCCAACTATTTTTATTGTATGAAGCATAACATGCCTCAATAGTAAAAAAATGGAGACATAAGATTTAACGTATATTAATGCAATTTGAGGTTATCGTAATTTTGAAATTAAAACACAAAGAGGAAAAACCAAATAATTTTTATAAAAATTTCTCAACATTGAATTTGTAGATTGCTTTGGTAAGTATGGTCATTTTCACAATATTGATTCTACCCATCCGTGAGCATGGGATGTGTTTCCATTTGTTTGAGTCATCTGTAATTTCTATCAGTAGTGTTTTGTAGTTTTTCTTGTAAAAGTCTTTCACCTCCTTGGTTAAGTATATTTCTAAGTATTTTATTTTATTTTTTGCAGCTATGGTAAAAGGGGTCGAGTCCTTGATTTGATTCTCAGCTTGGTCACTATTGGTGTATAGCAGAACTACTGATATGTGTACATTAATTTTGTATACTAAAACTTTGCTGAATTCATTAATCAGTTCTAGGAGCTTTTTGGAGGGGTCTTTAGGGTTTTCTAGGTGTACAATCATATCATCAGCAAACAGTGACAATTTGACTTTCTCTTTACCAATTTGGATGCCCTTTATTTCTTTTTCTTGTCTGATTGCTCTGGCTAGGACTTCCAGTACTATGTTGAAGAGGAGTGGCAAGAGTGGGCCTTCTTGTCTTGTTCCAGTTCTCAGAGGGAATGTTTTCAACTTTTCCCCATTCACTGTTATGTTGACTAAGGGTTTGTCATAGATGGCTTTTATTACATTGAGGTATGTCCCCTCTATGTAAATTTTGTTGAGGATTTTAATCATAAATGGATGCAAATCTTGTCAAATGTGTTTTCTGCCTCTATTGGGATGATTATGTGATTTTTGGTTTTGATTCTGTTTATGCGGTATATCACATTTTTTATTGACTTGTGTATCACTGCATTCCTAGTATGAAACCCACTTGATCGTGGTGAATTTTCTTTCTAATATACTATTGGATTTGGTTAGCTAGTATTTTATTAAGGATTTTAGCATCTGTGTTTATCAGGGATATTGGTCTGTAGTTTTTTGTTGTCGTTGTTATGTCCCTTCGTGGTTTTAGTATTAGGGTGATACTGGCTTCATATAATTATTTATGGAAGATTCTCTCTCTCTCTCTTTCTCTCTCTCTCAATGTGAGTCTCATACTGTCAGCCAGGCTGGAGTTCAGTGGGACGATCTCTGCTCACTGCAACCTCCGCCTTCCAGGTTCAAACAATTCTCCTGCCTTAGCCTCCCAAGTAGCTAGGAATTTAGGTGCCCACAACCACACCCAACTAGTTTTTGTATTTTAGGTAGAGATGAGATTTTACTATTTTGACCATGTTGGTCTTGAACTCCTGACCTCAAGTGATCCACCTGCCTTGGCTTCCAAAAGTACTGAGATTACAGGTGTGAGCCACTGTGACCTGCTCCCTCTTTCTCTGTCTTTTGGAATAATGTCAACGGGATTCATACCAATTCTTCTTTAATATGTTAGAATTCGGCTGTGAATCCCACTGATCCTGGACTCTTTTTGTTGGTAACTTTATTACAGTTTCAATCTCACTGCTTATTATTAGTCTGTTCAGGGTTTCTAATTCTTCCTGACTTAAAATAGGAAGGTTGTACCTTTTTGGGAATTGATCCATGTCCTCTAGGTTTTATAGTCTATGCACATAAAGTGTTCATAGAAGCCTTAAATGATCTTTTGTATTTCTGTGGTGTTGAGTGTATTATCTCCCATTTCATTTCTAATTGTGCTTATTTGGAGCTTCGCTATTCTTTTCTTGGTTAATCTTGCTAATGGTCTATTAATTTAATTTATCTTTTCAAAGAACCAGCTTTGTGTTTCATTTATCTTTTGTATCTTTTGTATTTTTGTTTGTTTGTTTCAATTTCATTTACTTCTGCTCTGATCTTGGTTATTTTCTTTCTTCTGCTGGGTTTGGATTTGGTTTTTCTTGTTTCTCTAGTTCCTTGAGGTGTGACCTTAGATTGTCTATTTGTGTTCAACAAAACATACAAAAACACGAAGTAGGGAAAGGACACCCTATTCAACAAATAGTGTGGGGATAATTGGGAAGCCATGTGTAGGATAATGAAACTAGATCCTCATCTCCCACCTTATACAAAAATCAACTCAAGATGTATCTGGGACTTAAATCTAAGACCCAAAATTATGAAAATTCTAGAAGATAACATTGGAAAAACCCTTCCAGACATTGACTTAAGCAAGGATTTCATGACTAAGAGACCAAAAGCAAATGCAATAAAAACAAAGATAAACAGCTAGGACTTAAACTGAAGAGCTTTTATATGACAAAAGGAGCACTCTGGAAGGTAAACAGACAACCCACAGAGTGGGAGAAAATCTTCACAATCTATACATCCAACAAAAGACTATTATCCAGAATCTACAAGGAATTCAAACAAAGTAGCAAGAAAAAAAAAAATCCTATCAAAAAGTGGGCTAAGGACATAAATTGACAATTCTCAAAAAAAAAAAAAAAAGATATACAAATGACCAACAAACATACGAAAAAATACTCAACATCACTCATGATCATGGAAACGCAAATAAAAACCACAATGCAATACCACCTTACTACCTCAAAAATGGTCATAATCAAAAAATCAAAAAGCAGTAGGCATCAGTGTAGATGCAATGAAAAGGGAACACTTCTACACCACTGGTAGTAATGTAAACTAGTGCAACCATTATGGAAAATAGCAGGGAGATTCCTTAAATAATTAAAAGTAAAACTACCATTTGACCTAGCAATCCCACCACTGGGTACCTACCCAGAGAAAAAGAAGTCATTATACACAAAAGACACTTCACTTTCATGTTTATAGCAGCACAATGCACAATTACAAAAATATGGAACCAGCCCAAATGCCCTTCAGTCAATAAGCTGTGGTATATATATGTACAGTGGAATACTACTCAGCCATAAAGAGGAATGAATGAATGGCATTCACAGCAACCTGGATAGGATTGGAGACTATTATTCTAAGAAGTAAAAGTAACTTAGGAATGGAAAAGCAAACACTGCATGTTCTCACTCATAAGTGGGAGCAAGCTGTGAGGATGCAAAAGAATAAGAATGATACATTGGGCTTTGGGCACTCAGGGGGAAATTGAGAAGTGGGTGAAAGAGAAAAGGCTACAAATTGGGTTCAGTATATACTGCTCAGGTGATGGATGCATAAAAAATCTCACACATCACCACTAAAGAACTTACTCATGTAACCAAATATCACCTGTTTCCCAAAAACCTATGGAAAAAAAAATCTCAACATTTTATCTACAGTAGGATTGAGTCAATGAACACTATAATGATAATTTTACAGTACATATGTTTTATATTATGTAACATAATTTATTACTTATTAATATTATTTTTATTTGCATATAATTTATTCAGAAGTATTTCTGTTAGGTTAGTCATTTAATAAGTATAAAAGCAATCTGAGAAAAACCTAAAGAAATAATAATGAAAAATTATTGTCCTATAGCATATCATATTTTATAAAAATCAGTTTCCATCCCTCTGATAATAAATTACTTATTCTGAAAATTGTATACTTAAGACATAATCAATGCTTATTCATATTGTTTTAGTCTTCTTATCCTTATTTCTAAGTTGTATAAGACAGTAAAAAACCTATTTGCTTTTTGAAAGAATTCTAGAACCTGAATTTATGCATTATTAAAGAATATCATCTTCACTTTTTCAGAACTGACTTCTAATTTCATTACATTATGAAATAGTATGGTACAATATATAGTGTTCTTAGGGTTAATTTTTTTTCTGATAACTCATTGAAATACAACTAAAATAACCAACATAATTCTAAATAAAACTTTTAATTTGATAGCTATTGTCTACATGAACCCACACAAATGTGAATTTTCTTTCCATAGGTTTTTGCAAACATACTAATATTTTTACTGAAGCATATATACTGAACCATTTGTATCCTGCATTTTTAGAGAAAGGTACAGAAAATCCCAGTGATACAGTCAATCTCTACTGCAAAGAACAGGTAAAGCAGAGTCTAAGAGTAGCTTGGTGTATCCATCTATTCTCGCTCTGGTATAAAAAAAATACCTGAGACTGTGTAATTTATAAAGAAAAGAGGTTTAATTGGCTCCTAGTTCATCAGGCTGTACAGGAAGCACAGCGGCTTTTGCTTCTAGGGAGGCCTCAGGAAACTTACAATCATGGCGGAAGGCAAAGGGGAAAAAGACACATCTTAAGTGGCAGGAGCAGGTCCAAGAGAGAGCGGGGAGGTGCCACCCACGTAAGCAACCAAGTCCCATGAGAACTCTATTACCAGAACAGCACCAAAGGGGAAAATTCACTGCCATGATCTCATCACCTTTCACCAGACACCACTTCCAACATTGTTGATTACAATTCAACATGAGATTTGGGTGGGGACACAGATCCAAACTATATCACTTGGATATGAGTAGAGTTCTTTGGTTACTGGTAACTGGAGGTAGACCTGAGCATCCCAAGAGAAAAGCTGACTGTTGAAATGGGACAAATCTGACTGGAAATAATATATATCTTGTGGATATAACAATGAATTAAACATCCCTAAAAAACTATATTGAAGAAAATGATTCGAAGATTTCTATAACATTTTAATTACACAACAATAGTTATTTGAATGCTCACTGCCAATTATTTTAAGGTACATTGTATCTTTTGTTTTGAAAAAAATCATGTGTTTATTTTTTTTAATGCTTCTTTTCTTTCCTTCTTTCTCTTACTTTCTTTTTTCTTTTTCAGATGACACGAGAACAATACATACTAGCAACCCAACAGAATAACCTGCCAAGGACTGAGAATGCACAACTTTATCCAGTGGGAATTTATGGATGGCGAAAGAGGTGCTTATACTTCTTTGTCCTTCTGCTGTTGGTTACCATGATAGTTAACTTAGCCATGACAATATGGATATTGAAAGTTATGAATTTCACTGTGGTAAGTACCACTATGATTTTACATCTTATTGCTCTTGGTTCAAAGACAATCTAGCTCTGTTACTTTAATTTTTTAATCAAAGGTTATTCATATCAATATTTACAAGTGTGTTTTTAAATCCCAAAGACAATAATATTTTATTTTAAGACTACATTCAGTAGGTTTAGTCCTGACAGACATATACTATTACTACCTGCCATTTAAGTATGGGAAATTTAGATCACAAGACAGCATAGCACATTGATTCATTAGAATGTTTGAAGAACACTTAATCAGTAAGTATGAATATTACTTACTGTGCCTTAAAATTTAAGAAATGAATCTGTTTTTAGAAGTGATATTTCACATTAAAATTAATATTAATATTATAAATCATATGCCTTTGAATTACTTCATTTAACATATATACCTCTATATCTCTGTATATCTGCTTTCTATGTAACATACTGCATGACTGAATCTAAAAGCCTGGAATTTCTCCTGAACTACATTGACTAATGCCTATAATTGCCATCAGATGGTGACCCTATTCTTTCATAGCACATCCCTCATAAATGGAAGATCAACCAGAAATTAAATCACTCTTTTATAAAAATAACTAATTACAAAATGATAGTATAACGTGTTAATGAAGTTTGCTGCAGTTTACTGAATGTTTATAATAAATTTATGAGCATGAGTTATCTGGAAAAATTCAGTGGCTTCAGCAAAGTCCAGTTTGGCTCATTTTATATTTTTTGACTGATGCCTTCAGTTTTTCTACTCTGCTTTTAGACCATTCTGCCTTTGCTTGGGGACCTCAGATATCTTCACATATAAGCAAGTATCTTTCACTTGCTGACCAGGCTGCTATTATTCTTTAGAACTCTGCATCCTCAGAAGTGAGTCTAAAGCTGGCTGTTTAACTTCCTATACTGGGCTGTTTATGGTTTGTTTGTTTGCTTTTTAAACCCCACTCGGTATTGATTTAGCAAGAATTGTCTCTTTCTGACTTCACTGACACCTGATTCTAACTCAGAAACAGAAGCTCAAAAGAGAAAATGACGCTAGCTTCAGTTCGTGTTGCAAGGCGTCACAATTATGTGTGTAAGGAGCCTGGGCGAGCAGGTGGCCTAACCTTCCGGAGAAGAAACACTGTCACTGTGCACATCAAGATACACCAGCATGTGCTCGTGGAGGGAAATGAGCCATGGTTCCTTTTTTTTTTCTCATAAATTATAATTTTGAAGAGTATTCATCAAATAAGAAACTAAAGGCAAAGAAAAGTTGGGTAGGAGTCAATGTTTTTGCAGAGTCAGAAAATAGTAACTGTTGCCTAGACACGGATATGTCTCAGGTCAGGGATCAAGGCATGAGGCCACTTGTGGGTGGCTAGAGGTTGAATTGAAGGCTGGTAGGTACATTCTCACTTATGAGATTCTCTGGGAATGCATCTGAATCTCTTCTTTATCTAAAAGTTGGCTCACTTTGCCCTCTCATTTGGGAATATTTTGACGCAAATATCAACAACTCTAGCCATCATGTTTATGTTCTCAACTCTGCTCCTAACTTCTCTGACTACTGTCTGGGTGTCCTTCAGGGGTCATTGATCATATGGTAGGAACAATGTTTATGCTCCTGCACCTTCTTTTGTGCTACTTTAAATAGCAACCAGACTATCAGTTGCTGAAAACATTTTCAGCCTCATTTTTTAACTAAAAATTAATATTATAAAAGAGGTAAAGCATATTCTTCAAATTTTGAAATTTCAGTAATATGATTTTCTCTGTCAAAAGGCATCTTTCAAAAGCTTATGAATGATGGGAGCAGGTCTCTCACTTCAGGGAGCATTGATTCCATCCAGTGACTCAACCCCAGGAATTTTCAGGTGCAAACCTTGTAAGCTTTTCAGGCATATTTAAATTAATTAGAAAAATATACTTAAATGTGTAATTACATGGCTACATGCATCAGACTCCCAATACTTTGCCCCATGCTGACACCAAGGCTGGATAAGCCATCCCTGGGAAATCATTGACACAGTCGCCTGTGTCCTCAGGATCCTCAAGGGCCCCAGGGTTCCTGTCACCCATGGAGCTATTTAATTTGAACCTCAGCTGGCCAGAATGTAAAATATAATGCAACATGGTCCTGGAGATAATTAAAAGGGGTTGTTTCCATAGGAGTGTTGGTATTTATTTATTTATTTGTTTTTACATTTTCCTTTGAGGCATGTCTTTTGAAAAAATATGTTTTGACCTTTTTATAATCAGAAGGAAAACTGTCCTTCCTTCAGCCACAAAAACTATTTGCATGTAGCTGAAGTAAAATGCACAGATAAAGTTTCCAGAAATGTATCACACTGTAAGGTAACACACTCTTTGTAAGATAACACACTTTCTAGCTCAATGTAGTCATTCGTAGTTGTTCAGAAATAATTCAGAAATCCTTATGTAGTTACAGACTTTAGTAATCCTGAATACTGGAGATTATGTTGTATATACTTGAAGGGTGTTAAATAATTTGTAATCCTCTTCCATCAGAGCAGTAAAATAAAACCATTTTTATGTTTTTACTAGTGCATTGTGTTCGTTTTCATATCTACAGAGAATACCAAAGACTAGTTGCCATACTATAGTAAGAAGTAGAAAATAATGTGTCAGTTGTTTGGGGAGTACTATTGATCCGCACAAAATATATTTCACTTTCATTATAACTATTGCTATCCAACACATGGAAATCTGTGGCTGTTAACATCTTTTATTTGAGCAAACTGGGCATGTTATTTTTATCAAAATATTGATAAAATATTTTTAGCATAGCAATATTTTTAGCATAGCAAGGATAGCTGCCAACATGTTTTATGCTGTTTGTTGAAGTCCATCATTGTGACTGATATTGTGCATGATGTGTATGATTGATATGCCCTTTTATTTTTGGAAATAATTTGTGTTTTTCATTTTGTAGAAAATAAAATTATTCTGCTTTTTGAGATACTCAGTTGTAGAAAAAAAAAAAAAAAGGAAATGACTTTATAATACAGGATGAAAGACTTAAGATAGAAATAAATAATCTCCTGGCTATGAGAGCAGGTGTGTGTATATATACATATATATATACTATTTCATATATATATATGTTGAAGAGGGAAAATTTTGAAATTTTGAAGTTAGTTGAAGAGGGAAATTTATATATATATATATATATATAAAATATATGTTGAAGAGGGAAATTTTAAAACTTCAATTTGTTGAGGTCGGTACAACCCATTTCCATGTTATCAGTTGCTATTTGGTTGATTACTATAATATCTTTGTGGTTTAGCTAATAGACTAGCCTAGCAGGTCTATCAAATCCAGGCATTCTACTGAGTCAGTATTATTTTCTAGGCTCAACACTTATTGTAAGTAAATTAGTTCTATATTTGAGAATTGAAGATTGTTACAATAATAAAGTACTGATTTTAAGAACAAAAGTACCAACTAAGGGTTGGCGGCCTCTGGCTGATATAATTCTGTTAGATATGCTAACTAGCCAGCAAAAAAAAAAAAAGAAAAGAAAAGAAAATATAAGTAATATTTATTAAGCAAATGAGGAGAGCAAATTCATGAATGCCGTGACTTAGAGAGAAGTCAGGAATACCTAGACTTGGGTAATAATTGAAGCAATCGATTAATTGAACAAACTGGGAAAAGAAATCTTGCATGATCAGTGGGTTGACAGTTGGCTGAAAGAAAATCCCAAGAAAAGAATTGAATATCATCGTCATTTTGGATTGAAAAGGAATTGGGAAATTTTAGAACAACTATCTAAATATTACAAGAGATGATTTTACAGTATTTTCTCCATTTGGTCACTTGGCATCTGCTTAAACCCTCCTTTCAGTGATAAGCAAATCATCTCATTAAATCACTGTATAGTTTTATTATTTTAAAATATCTTTTAAATTTTATTATTTTTTAATTTGTAGGTAGGGGTATATATTTATAGGGTACATATGATATTTTGATAAAGTCATATGATGTGTAATAATCCCATCAGGGTAAATGGAGTATCTGTTTTCTCAAGCATGTATCTTCTGTGTTACAAACAATCCAATTATACTCCTTTCATTATTTGAAAATGTACAGTAAATTATTGTTGACTCTAGTCACCCTTTGTGCTATCAAATACTAGATTTTATTTGTTCTAACTAGATTTTTGTGCCAACTTACTATCTACACTTTCCCCACCTCCACTACCATTCCCAGCCTCTGCTGACCATCATTCTACTCTCTTAAATGATGTTCTGTTAGCAATTCCTTGAATACAGCTTCAAATATGGTATTCTGATTCCATTATTTCAATTGGACAGGAATTTTTAATGTTCCAAGACCAGCATATATTCTCATATACATCATATGCACACATACATGCACATAGATCTTTGATAACATTTTTAAAAGTTCTAAAAATCAGAATATGTAAGGGAGATCTGTATGTAACCGCTTTACTTTCTTTGGTTGTCACTTTTCCTCATTTCAAATATTATGTGTATTACATAACCATAATTATATGTTTATAATAATATTAATCCTTTCAAGATAGCTTTCCCTTTATAGCTACAAACCAGAGTCATTCTTATTTATTTTTTCATCCCATTTTGTTTATATAAATAATTAACTTATATAAAATTTACATTTATGCATTAAACAGGAATATAAATAAAAGCAGGAAAAGTGTTCAGGATTGTGGTTATATACATAGAGTTACAAGATATTGGTAAAGTTTGCTTTTTCTTTTGCAGGATGAAAACATTTGTTTCCGTTTAGTGTACCTTTCTAAAGTTGAGAGTTACCATATTTACTTTTCTCCCTTCTGTCTTCAAGCTAACATTTTAAAATAAACTATACATTTTTTGAGTCTTAATTCCTGTGTTCTTTCAAATACCTTGTTAAATAAAGTATCGCATATCTACATTATTCTTTTCACCAATTCAATTTTTTTATCTTCATCATTAATCCAGTGGCATTTCTCATAGC